CCTGCGCGGGGAGCCCGGCGGGTTGGGCGGGAGAGACGGGACCTTCACATCAAGAATCCTCAGCCAAACGTTACCAACTGTGTCCTCAGTCCAGTGAAGTCTGGGACATTTCAGAGGCACAAATGAGTAAATATCCATGACAGACTCCTCTGCTGCAGAGCGAGGTGAAGGCACTTGGCGCCCTCGCGGATGTTACTCCCAACCACAATCTTAACAAAAAATTAACATGTTGCTAGTAATAAATGGGATGCTCACCTTATTACAACTTACATAGTCATCTGTTCACTGGGACACGTTCTTGCCTATTTTACCAGCAAAAACGTTTGTTTTGAATTTTAAGCTACACCTGTAGTACCTGTTGGCTGTTCAAATATTTCTGTAGATGCTGCAGGATTCAGACAACAAAGGGACTCATTGCAGCTCGGCACAGTAACTACCAATGAGGTGCAGTAACTGCCCATGCACCAACTCAGGAGCTGCAGTCAGCACAAGCTGCAACACAGCTTATACACCTCCATGAAACTGGTTTCTTACCTTATCTCGTAACACAGTCAGGGGTAGAGTTGCATTATGCTGCAGTAACTGGTTAAGTCATGGAAACTTCATTGTGTTTCCATGCTCCAGGCAGACAGCCAGATCTCCTGCTGATGGGTGTGGGCACAGTGTTCTTCAGCAAATCCACAGTCTCATACTCATTTGAATGAATAAGGAATAAACCCTGCATTACCTGCAATAAGAATTTGGCCATCTTAAGGATCTTGACTATTTTATGGCCAGCAGTCTTTGCTGGACAAGTTAGAAAGATCACTGTTCCCTCTTTATTATTAGAATCACTTGAATTTTGCATCCAAGAGCTCCAGAAACATTCAGGCTTCTCCTGGGCTAGGCAGAGAAAAGGCAACAATGCAACTCCAGGGGCCAAGACAGGAGCTAGCAGAGCTCGTGTCACAGTTCGTTTCCATCAGTGAAAAGGAGAGTTGTGAAAGGAGCTGCAGGAAACAAGAAGGCAGGTTCGTGCTCTGGGCTGGAAGGACACACTGAGTCACTCCTGTCCCCAGGTGCCAGTGAAGCAGAAGCTGCTGCTCCTGCCCGGGTGGCCGCGCTCCGGCCGCTGCAGGCAGCAGCTGCCCAGGGTGCCGGTGCTTCCTCTCTTTCCAGCTCTCCTTCCTTTAAATCCTGCGGGATTAAGTTCACCAAAGCGCCAGTTAAGTTCACCAGGCTGCCCGGGAGCAGCTCGGGGCCCGGAGCAGCAGCCGTGGCCCCGCCGGAGCTGCCGACCGAGCTTCGCTTCCCGCAGACGCCTCTTCCCGCCGCCCCGAGCCGGGAGGAGACGCGGGACCGGAGGGCTCTGCTCCTCTGTCTGCTCCGTTCGGGACCGCTGGGCTGCTCCGGGATAACGGGATGTGCCCGCTGCACCCCGGGGCAGCCCCGCACCGGCACCAGCTCTTGCTCTGCATTCCATCTGCCTCTTCCGAGCATTAGGACTGATTGTAGAGATGACAGTGATGCAGAGCTCTGCACGGCCCGGCCTTGATTTCTCATGAGCTCTCCAAAAAAAAAAGTTGCTGTTATCTGCACGATTTCATTTTCAGTGGGAATTTCCCAATTTTGTAACAAGTCGTATCAAAGCTGCTGACGTGGCTGGTCTACTGACCCATCCAGGAGAGCACACAGGACCTGCAGAGCCACCAAAACTGAAGGTTGTTCAGAGTTGGATGGTGATGAGCTGGCTGAGACAGGCAGAATGATGGATCCAGCTCAAACAATTCTTCTTCACCATTGTGGGAAAAAAGAAAAAATAAGTGTTAATCTCACTCATCCCTTTAAGTCTTGGGACTTCCTCATTTCTGCAGAAGAGAACGACTCTGGGTATCTGGCAACTGTCAGCAAAAGGTGGAGGCTTCACCAGAAGCTTAGTCTGCAAGACTTCCTCATGATTTGCAGACTAAGGCTCTTTGAAGGGAAGAATTAAGTATTTGAATGACTGGCTGCTTGGCAGAACCTAATCTCAGCCTTGGTCTTGAGGCAAAAAAATAATTCAGCCAATGCAAAACTTCACCCAATTCCTGGACAGAATGGATGTGACTGGTACCTGATCAGGAGGCACTCACCCTGCACTTCCAGCACTGGTGTTTATTCACTGACTGTCTTCAAGAAAGTCTCTGAAGACAACACTTTTAAAACTAGTTTCTGCCTTTCAGTGTTCAGACTAATGAAGCTCATTACACTTCAGCTAGCTTTTAGAAGGTGAGATAGATCAGCGTATGTTCATCCTGGACTTGTTTGCTGGAGCAATGTGTGGGTTGGTCATAGAATTACAGAATGCTAGGATGGAAGGGACCTCATGAATCATCCGATCCAACCTTTCTAGGTAATACTACAGTTTACATTAGTTGGCTCATGACATGTAAACCCTGTCAAGCTGAGACCTGGGAATCCAAGTGGAATCCAAGTCCAACGTGGGGGAATCCACCTCTTCCCTTGGGAGACTATTCCATGGTCTTCACATGTTGGATTTGCCACTCATGTAAAAGTCAAATAGCAGAGACTGTTGAAAGCCGGAAGCTTAGTGTCCTGGTTTGAGCCAGGATGAAGCCAATTTTTCTTTTTACTGATTTTTTTTTCCTTCAGTAAGCTTTCTTGTAACTAGCACCTAGAACTAGTGTTCTGCTGGGCTGATAAGACAGTGGAATGTTTTTCTAACTACTGAGGCTTCAGGGCTGCACCTGCACTCTGCCGGCTCAGACACTACGGGGAGATCTGTGACCCCCCCGTAGGAGGCTGCGTTAGACAGACAGCAAAATTGGCCAAAGATATTCCATTCCATATATCTACGTAAGCTCAAGAAGGTCAGGGATCACAGAAGACAACTTCCTTCCTTCTTCTTCCCTTCTCTTCCGTCCATGGCCGGCGTCCAGGGAGGACTCTGTTCATCCATCACCGTCGACCCTTAGGCTCGAGCTCTCCTGACCCCCATAACTCTCTGCTTTCTCCAGCAGCAGCTCCGGGATTCCTCGGGACTCTTCCCAGTTCAGGGAAGTGCTGTGGGAGTTGCTGGGGTGGGGGGAGGCGAGAGGGTTTTGCCCATACCTGAATATATCTGTATATAATTGTATATATTTTCTTGTATCATTCATTAGTGTTTTAATTAAAGCTGTGTAGTTTAGTTTTCAATCCAGCCAAGTCTCTCTCTTTTTCTCTCTCTCCTTCCCTACCTGGGTTGGGGGGAGGGGGGATCGAGAGCATTGTTGTCGGACCTGAGTCAAACGGTGACACTTAGACTATTTGTCATTAGAACGATTCCATTACAGTATCCTCCACAATTCAAACCTGGCTTTTATTTTTTACTGTGCCAGAAATGTAACAGTGTAAAAGACATTAAACCCACACTATTGAAAACAAACATGTCCCTTACCTAGACATGCCATTCCTATCTGAATGGCATCCAGTGACTCCAGCATGAATTGGTATCTTAGATTTATCCAAGAGGACACCCTGCATCTTCCTGATAGCTGCCACTGTATTTGCCTCTCAGTGACTGTCTCTTTGTGCTCATGCCAACAGATGACCCTGTTCACTGGCAGGATACATGTCACTGGTTGGATTGTCAAGTACATCCTTCAGGACCTACAGGAGTCCTTCGGACATCAAAGACAAGAAAAGGAGCATCTGATATAACAGCACCTGCAGAAGTCCTCAAGGAAACACATGCCAACCCTTCTGGGGTCAGACTTTCTCCATTGTCTCTGTGGTTTTTTTTTCCCCAGAAGAAAACGCTGGATGATTCATCCCTCCATCAGGCTGGGAAAGCCTCCTCTGCCCAAAAGTAGAATTGAGAAGGCACTTCAGGCAAGGCTCTGCAGGGACACGGATAATTTCTGACGATCTGCTCTCCCTCTTACTCATTTCTCTGTAGCCACCCTTCTTGTGCCTGTGGCTGCTGAAGGAAGAAGCCCTTTGTCACTGCAGGGCCTTGAGCACCCTCCTTGCCAACAGAAAGAGGCCGTGGAGCACTGCTGAACACAGCCCAAGCAGTGCAGTTCACCAGGACTCAGTGCTAGTTTTAACCAGTCAAAGGCTGGGCAATGACTCCATTTAAGGCATCTATCCACTCCCTCTGCTCCCTGTCGTTCTCACACAGGAACACAAACTCTCTCACTGGTGTGACCACAGTGATCGCTGGTTTCCTTTTCTTCATTCGGACTCCCTGGGGCAAACCAGCTCGTACTTCATATCCCTCATCCATCCTGCCAATGAAGACCTGGCCCTGTGCAAATGCGTCCTAGAAAGAAGGAAGCAAAGACAGCCATTAGCCAGTGGACAGCACAGCTCCAACAGACACTGTTCTATCCTTTGACAGAGAGCAGGAACTGGGGATGTGTGAAGACACTGTCCTTATTTGATAAGGAACAGTGGCCAGCAAGAGGAGCCCCATGGAGGCACAGTGCCACCTTGCAAAACACCACTTTCCCATGTAAAGACAGAGCGCATGTGTGAAAATAAAGGTCATTGCTCAGTCAACCCAGATCAGGGACACACACACACAAGTGATCACCTAGACCCCTGTGCCCCACTGACTCATTTCTAGAACATTTCCAAATCCAACACTGAGTCTCCGCAAAGTAGGTTGAACCTCACTCAGAGAGGCAGGGCCGGGTGCCACCCAAGAGGAGCTCCCACGTCTGGGGAGCTGTGCCCACCTTGTGGGATGTGACAGCTCTAGAAGCTGTAG